AACTCCCAAAGCAAACTCCTCAAACAGACCCTGAGTAATGTCCAGACTGGACCAGCCCGGGGAATGTGACCTTGATTTATACCTAAGAATAGAAAGGCTATGGGGCCAAGACACCTTCTCCCTTACTATGACTCCAGAGCATTCCGAGTTACTTTCTGCCTTGTGTTCCTTCCTACCTGGCCCTAGCCACATGAGAAAGCAGCTCCTATCTGAACAAGCCACAGACTCATCCTTAGCAAGCCTGTGCTTCTTCCAACAGGTCAAGAGGGTTGACTCTCCCAACTAATGTTAGCACTCTTTCTGTCTTTGTTTACTGAGTCTTGGGTTGGTTGGCACTTTTAATCTGTAAGTTGTCTAAGCTTTGTACTATAGCCAGGCAAACTACCAGCTGCTAAAACAGGCTTTGACCCAATGCTCTTAGTGTTCTTCCCTTATATCTCTTAATGACTCAAAGGTAATTACCCATCTCTTTGAGCAACTTACAAAGCAAACCGCTAAATGTTTAGTGAGCAGCTACTATGTGCAAGGGGTGGTATTGGGTGCTGTGTAGAATAAGATCTACTGTGGAAGAGCCCTCACTGTAGAGGCAACATCGTGCGTCAAATGCAGAGGCTGTCTTTTCAAGGGTCTTGCATTTTGACTTTTTCCTGTAACCTGTGTTTGGTGTTTGTGGCAGATCACTGTGGCCCTCCTTTGACCTTTCCTGTAGTTCAAGAAGTTAAGAGCTGACCCAGACAAATCTGCAAGCCCACTTGCAAAGGTAAAGCATAGAGAAGCCAGGCAGGTGATAGGAGGGTGGAGGGAGTCCCACCTCCATCTCCATAGCAACATCCCATGACTGATGGGGACGCGGTAGCTGCAGTTGTAGCTTCTTGCTGGCGTTTCTTAGGAATAGTTGCCACTACTCTGGGATAAACAGCAGGTTAGAATCAGATCAAGGACAGTCCCATGTCACCTCTGCTTTGCAGCATGGCTTTGTGAAACTATTCTCTCTGTACTCTTCAGGAAGTTAAGACATCACCAGTGGATCTGTAGACTGAAGATAAATAAAACTACACGATCACCCTTCTATAGAGGGAGTGTGTGTGGGGGCGGGGAGACAAAAATTGTCCTGCTGTAATTCCCCAGACCACTTTTGCAGAGTGGTCCATTGAACCCAAGGACTTTGAAACAAGGGACAAATTCCCAAACACACAAGAGAGGAGGCATCTATTTCCATCGTTTCATGTGGTTTTTATTTATTTACAGAGTACCATGGTTATTCATGAAGCTTTACAAACCGTAAAAACAAGGTCTCCACCCTATAGAACTTACAGTGTAATTTAAACATACATGCTGCATGGGCTGACAGGTCCAGCGTGCCAGGGGGTAGTGGCGGTGTTGTATAACACGGGTGTGGAGGGTTCCTTCTTGAGTTATAAATACTTCCCAGTTACGAGGGCCTTTCATCTGGGATCCCTGAGCACTTTAGAATAGCAATAACCTAGATGGCTTTCTAAACGCACTTTCCATAAACTGTTGTGGGGACTGAGTAAATGCTTTTAAATGCCTATTAACTGATCCATGGATCTGCTCGCTGTCCATACTAAACAGCATGCATGTAAACACGATGATTTAGGAGAGGCCTGCTGTGGGTTGGGGGCTGTCTGCTCATGGATGACAACCCCAGGGAGGCCTAGCTGCCTTGCCCTGGCTTTGAGAGGGACACACGGACACCTGGGTGTTTTCTCAAATGAGATACTTGAGACACTAGACTGGAACAGTTGTCAATTTCTCATGCCCTGTTCACTATCTGTGGGCAAACCAGCATTTCCGAGTCTGCAGGGCTCACACACACACACACACACACACACACACACACACACACACACACACAATCATTTACCAGAGAAACAGTCGCCCCTCAGCTGGCAGCTGTGGCTTTCATTCAGCTTCCTCTGATCACTCACCAGGCTCCTCTGACCTGTCTCACTCTCTGTTGAGCAATGCCATTTCCACAATGTTAAGATTTCTATTTTCTTGCAGGTTATGGCGTTTCCCTTTCTATATTTCACTCACCAGTCAGATAGCAACTGACAAGTCATTCCTGACCTGCTTGACAAGTTCATTCAAGTCCAAGGGAAGACTGGCCTGGGTTACCGTCCTGAGTGTTCGCCCAAAGGTTCACAAGATAAGCACCCTCCTTCCTTCTTTTACAAGCTTCTCAGACTTTTCTCTACAAAAGCCCCAAATGGAATCACATCACCTCCCTACTTTGAAAACCCCAGCTGAGTGGGCAGGAGGGCCAGGAATCCCAGATCGCCATGACTACACGGCAATTTCAAGGCCAGCCTGGGATATATGAGACCCTGTCTTGAAAGGAAAGAGGGTAAAGGAAAGGGCAGAGGACTAAAAGCCTGTGTCTATATGACCTTCGTGGCCATGGCCACCAGAGAGGTCACCCGTTGGCCATGTGCATGCCTCCTATAATGTCTTCTTTCATCTTCTCCTCTCATTAGCCTCACATCTTCCCGTTGAACTTCTGCCCTTTCATGTCCCACCCTAACCCTTCCTGTCTGAAGACTTCCACAGGCCCCCACCATCCATGCCCTCCCTCCACCCCACACACACACACACACACACACACACACACACACACACACACACACAAAATCACCTCTTCCTCCACCTCTGGGAACACAGTTGTCCCGTCTTTCGGGGATGGGGTACTTTTCTAGACTAGAACTTCATCTCAGCTGTAGTTACCACTTGGGAAGCTTTTGTCAAGGGTCTTATGTTTTGAAGAGGTACTGAAGGAGAAGATAGAATGACTGTAGCCTAAGATGCCAGAAACTACTTAGAGCCCTGGTTTTAAAGGATTTTGTCCTACTTGTTATGAGGAAGTCATTTCAGGATATGCTGACCACCTAAGTCGGGAAGTGCTTGAGTCAGTTTTCAAATGTTTGCTATGTACTTGAAAATAAAAAATCAATTGTGATCAAAGACACAGAAGTTTATCTTTTTGTTTGTTTGTTTGTTCTCTGTGTAACAGCCCTAGCTGTCCTAGAACTAGTTCTGTAGACAGGGCTGGCTTTGAACTCACAGAGATCTGCCTGCCTCTGCCTCCTGAGTGCTGGCCACCAACGCCTGGCCAGAAGCTTACCATTTTTACCATATTAAAGTTAAGGGTTCCTTGGAACAATGGTGAGGCCATTCGCAGACGCTTTCATTTTCCCAAACACAGTTTCCATAGAACACTAACTGCATTTCCTTGCCCTCCTCCCCAGCCCCTGGCCACCACCATTCCCCTTCCTGGCTCATTGAGTCTGACTACTCTAGATATGTCGTATAAGTAGCACCCTCCTATATTTGACCAATATTGTCACAAGCTTATTTCATTTAGCACAATGTCTTCAGGGATTGTCAGCGTTGTAGCACATATCTGAATGTCTTTCTCTTTTTATGGCTGAATAATGTGTTGTTGTATACATATGTCGCCTTTTGTTCAATGTGCCGATGGATAACTGGATTGATTTCACATTTTAACTGCTTCAGTTGGTTGCTATGAACACAAGGAAGACAAATCTCACAAGAGTCTGCTTCCAGAAACGCCTTTGAGGAACGTACCCAAAAGTGGATTTCCTGAACAAAAGTGTTGATTACATGCTTGGTGTTTTGGAACTGTCATGCCACTTTCCACGGAGGATGCACCATTTTATTTTAATTACTATTGTTTGCTTGCTTGTTCTTGTTTTTGAGACAGGGTTTATTTGTGTAGCCCTGGCTGTCCTGGTTCTATAGACCAGGCTGGCCTTGAACTCAGAGATCCACCTGCCTCTGCCTCCCGAGGGCTGGGATTACAGTATGTGCCACCACTGCTCCACAAGGATGCAACATTTTAAATGTACATTGAGGTACAAGGATTTTTGAGTTCTCCATCCCTCACCAACACTGGCTATTTTATGTTGCTTTGTTCTGTTTACAGATTCACAGGTGCTGAAGTGTTACCTCACTGTTGATTTGACTAAACTCAGTTTTGAACCTCATCATCTGAATTCCTCCCGATAAACTCAATCTCATTTCACAGCATGAGGTCTTACACTAGGAAATCTGAGCCTGCCTTGGGGGGTGGGGAGTTGGGGTGGAGCCCTAGGAAGGCTCCTCAGGGAGGGAACTGATGGGTAGGTAGGGCCACAGGTTGTTGCACTTCTGAATACCAACCAGCAGGGGCGCCTCCACAAGCAGTTTACTTTCCCTGACCAAAACTGGGTCCTAACCAGCAACAGAGCCCTCTGACTTCCTGGCCCCCTCCTGCTTGCTTTGTGCTGTGTCAGCATCAAAGAGAAGCAAGTGGCTAAGTACCTAACAGGTTGCCAAGTGATATGCAAGACAGTCACACCTTGCCGGACATTTAACATCCAAGAGTGGTGTAGTATGGTCCCCAGGGTGTGTGTGTGTGTGTGTGTGTGTGTGTGTGTGTGTGTGTGTGTGTGTAACTAAAATGTTCAGCCATTAGTAAAATGAGTCCTCCTGTCTGGTTCAGGGGATCCTGGGGCACAGCCAAAGGACACTTCACAGATGGCTTATGGTGACCTAGAGTTCTGAGTCTGTCAGTGACAGACTCACAGTGACAACCTCACATGTCAGGGGAAAGGGAAGACACTTGTTAAAAACAAGAGGAACACACACCAGAAAGAAAAACACCCCAACACGGCTTCCCACCCCACCTGCTTACCCCCAGGACTTGGTATGTGAGTCTGGTCCCTTCAGTGTCCAGTGGACAGCTAGCTCCCCACCCCCCACCCCAGCCAGTGAACTAGCAGTGCCTTTGCCTGGGTTAAAGGACTTCATTTCCCTATGCTGCCATAGCAACCAGGAAACAACCTCCATTCACAATGAGAAGGATGGTGCCTTAGCCCAGATTTGCAGCCTGTAGCAGAGCAACCAGGTCTCAGGGACAACAAGGGCTCAGAGCAGCAGAGAGTACACAGCCTGCTGTCTGAGGAGCCATATACTTATTCTCTCCACAAAGATGCACTCTGTCTAAACTGTGGCTGGATGTTACTGGGTCTCTGTAAGAGGGGAAACATATTTCATAAAAGGCCCAATGTTCATGGTCTCCTTTGGTTTGCTCTTGAGTTTTGGAAACCCTGAGCTGTGGCCAGTTTTCAGCCTTCAAAACTGAGATGGACCACCCTTGAGAGGGAGTAGTCAGGGACGAAGCATGCTCACGCTCTCTCTCCTGAGCCGGGGACATGGGAAGTTGGTCCAGAACAGACAGAAGTTGGAAGTCTATTTTGAACCAGAGGTGAGTCTGAGAGCTTGGGGGAGGAGGAGCACATTTTGAGTTTGGGGAGGTGGTCATGGGTAGATCTTCCCTCTTTTTGTTTGACCCCCGTAATTGCCACGGAAACAGCCTGCCTTCCTTGTTCTCACTCCCTGATGCCTTTGCTTGAGCCTGAAGGAGAATCTAGATTGTCCGGAGCCTGGACATTTGGTTCAAGATCAGAATTCCCACCTGGTCTGCAGGAGAAATTTGGAGAGCCGACTACTGTTGGCTTTTAGGAGCCATGCTCAGTGGTTAAAATACTGTATTTGTGCCTTTCAATGGCTTTTTTGAACTTTGTGGAATTCAACCCATAGGATTCATATTTAATGGAGGCCAAAACAAATCTCATTTTAGAAGATTTTAAAGAGGTGGCAAAAAGCCCCTTGTTGTGCTGGAGCTTTTATTCCTGAAGACTGCCAGGAACAATAAACACATTGGGGGAACTTTGTAAATTCCTGGGTCAGAGATCTCCGTCGTTGTGGTAGTTTGCCATGATACTTGACCTTTACTGTGTTAAAAGATGAATAAAGTTCCAAAGGACTTCAATGGCATACATTTATAAATACATAGCTACCTTATAGGTTCATATATATATATGTATGTATGTATGTATGTATGTATGTATGTATATGTCGCCAAATTAGGCAACATTCCACAGGCTGGAATATATAGATAGCTTCTCTGTGCATAGCTGGAATGGTAGTGGGTTGAAGTAGTTTCTCATAGTTAAACTGGTCACTAGTTCAAGTCTAATTGCCAAGTTATTTACTGTCCTTGATTATTCTGACTACTGGTTTGCATACCAGGAAATATAACTAGCCTGTAGCCTACACTGTGCTCTGCTGAAAGCCTGTAGGCAGGTACAGTTCTTATGTAATAAAATGAATTTGTATAGTAGGTTCTACTAACTTTTGTTGTTGTATTGGGCTCCCCCCCCCCCCGTGTGTGTGTGTGTGTGTGTATTTTAAGATTTCGTTTATTATTTTTAATTAAATGTAGGTATGGATAGGACTTTAGCCCATGAAGTGGAAAGCAAAAATTGATGCCCACACACTGTCCTCTCACCTCTGTACATGCCATGGCCCATTTGTATGCATGTGCACACATAAATGATATATAGTTTAGAAAGCCAAAAACTGCACAGACAATAATTGCTGAAGGGTCTTCTGCAGGGCCTTGATCAAGGCATTTTCCTTTCCTTAAAGGACTATTTGAACTGGAAGTCTCCGGAAGACTATGTCCTGGTTAGCAAATCCCAGGATGGGGACAGTGGCAGCCAGCACTCCTGGAGCCTCTTTCTTCCTAAGACCTTCAGCACAAGGAAGGGGGCGCTGATCCTGTACTCGGAGGGGCTAGCTGTATCAGCATGGACACCCAAAGAGAGGAGAAGAGGTCACAGGAAGAAGCCAGGCCTTGAACTGCACACGCTGCAAGACCTCAAAGAAGCCATTTTGGCATATGGAAGGAGACAGGTGGGTTTGGGAAAGGTGCTGGTGGCTTGTACATAAATACGCTTGCAGCTTTGAACGTAACTTCTTGGTTCCGAGGGAGGAAAGGTACAAAATTCAGACCCCAGGTTTGTTATCTTGACCCATATGCCAAGAACTGTCATAAGGCTCACAGATCATATATGGGGGAACTTCAAAAGTGAGAAGCATTTGCCCAGACTGTAATCAGAACCCACGAAACCCTGCCTCACAGCCAGGAACATTATTATTCGACCTCTGGTGTTCCTACTTGTGGAAATGATAATGCTTTGAATATTTACCTTGAGCCTTTTGGCATCAGCAGAAATTAACTACTTTTCCCATTCTGCGTTTACTATTAAGGGGAATCTCTGTTTTCCTCTGACTCTCATTATCTGATGTGTTGAGATGCACGCATGGCCCCTGAGACAGTCTGTGATGTGTCACTCAGAAGTTCTAGCTTGGAGATGGTGGGTTACTCCCTACTTTCAAAGTCTCTCAGCCCTAATAAAACTTTATTTAGCCTTTGACACCAGGCCCTTCACACACTGGTTCACTCTTCCAGGTCTAGCCCTACACTCCACTTCTTCATCCCACCACCTCAATGATGGACCCCTCAAGACCCCTCCTGATGCAGACTAGCTCACCCCAACAACCTCTCTCAACTAAACTTTTAGGCAAACCTCTACATAAGTCTTACACATCCTTCAAAACACGTGTCCCTCACAGTCTCCTTCTATTTCCCTAAGAGACGTTCACCCCCCATCCCAGTGTACATTGGAAGCTAGTCTCTTAGAGCATCCAGTGGGTACCTCTCCTATAGGGCAAGCACAGTGTGAGCTGGTTGTACATGCTTTCAGTGTTACTTAGCTCGTCTCCCACTTTGATTACAGGCACCTTCATCACATATCCAACTGCAGGCAGACCCTCCAAAAGGATGTAATGGCCTTGACCAAACACCACACTGCTCCTTACCATGAAATCATAAATCCTTGAATGAAAAGGAAATGTTAGTTAAATGTTTACTGTTTCTTCAAGCTATTGTTTAATTTGACCCTCCCAATTCCCCTGTGAGACATGGTTCTTCTCAGCAAACTTCCTTGCCCCCACATCTCCATCTTTTAAAGATGGGGTCTCACTGTGTAGCCCAGGCTGGCCACCAACACTTCATCTTCCTGCTTCAGCTCCCTACCGGCTCTTGCAGATAAGGAAGCTGAAGCTCTAAGGGGTGTGACTTCCTGAGGTCAGTGAGTGAGAGTCAGGACTCAAACTCAGGTCTTCTGACCTCTCCATGGCTAGCGTGGATATCCTACTGTCTATGGACTTGAAGGGACTCCAGAGATCACTGGGCAGGGCCCATTAGTTCTCCACACCCTTCTCTTGCTCTGCTCTGTTCATATGGTCAAACACAGGCTCCATATAATTCCAGAAACATCTGTGTTACTGCTCTTTGCCAATAGTGTACATTGGGAGAAGAGTGGGGAGGGAGAAAAAGGAAAACACAGAAGACAAGAAACACCTGCAGTCCTCTGTAGTCCAGCATCCAGCATCCAGCAAACAGGCCCACACCAGTTCCAAGCTCTTGTGGGTAATCCTTACCCTGCCCTTCTCTTTGTCCTTCTAGAATAGGGTGGAATCAACTCCTGAGGTTGCAGATCTCAATGTTGTCTCAATATCTGTTTGAGTTCTGCACACTCCAATCACCTGTGTAGAAAATACCCTAAATTTCGTTTGTGTTTAACGTTTGTTTGTTTGTGAGGGTACATATGCCACGGCATGAGTGTGAAGGTCAGAGAATAAATTCCTCCCACCATATAAGCTCCAGGGACCAAATTCAGGCCATCAAAGGTTACCCGGCTTGGTGGCAACCACCTCTTTTTACCCTGAGCCATCTGCCAGACCCCTTCTATATTTAAATACTTATATAGTTTTTGCTTTCCCTGACTAGAATAACTCACTTCCTAGACAGAGAGCACTTTCAGCAGCCTTGAATTACCTATCCTTATGGCTACGTGTTATTTATTTATTTATTTTCAGGGAAACAGGGAATTTATTAATTTATAAAATTGGTTGTTCCCCTAGAGACAGTTCTCTCTGTCTTTGGTGAAATTTGGGCTCCACAGAGAAGAGAAATTCTTTCCCTCTTGGACCTATCTTCCAGGCATGACTCAAATTTGTAGGAAACAGCAATACAGTCCAATTCCCAATCCCTGGAAGGAAAATGGTATACAGAAGGCTTTGGAATATAACAGGCAGAAATGTTAGGATGATGTTAGGAAACATAGTATTGTAAATTTTAAAAGGGAAACAATTCAAGGAACCTGGGATTCAGGAAGATGAATACTTAACAGAGGCCAGCTTTGGAAAGGGAAGCTGTAGACTCTAGAAACTCAGGAGCCTAACACCCACTTCCAAAGGCTATGGAGAAATTGTCATAGTCATTCTAACTGAAAAGTCACATGATTTTTCTAAGGGACATTTTGGGGGAAGCTTAAAAAGGGTTGATACCCTACGCGGCTCAGCACAATTGCTGGCAGTAGCGGTATAGCACTCAGGAGGCAGAGGCAGGCAGATCTCTGTGAGTTCGAGACCAGCCTGGTCTACAGTGAGTTCCAGAACAGCCAGGGCTACCCTGTCTTGAGAAACAAAACAAAATAAATTTAAAATACTAATGTTGAAACATTCTTGAGTGTTTGCCATGACCCTGAATCTGCTGTAGGTGGAGGGGAACCAAGCACGGTGCTGGGGCCTCGGGGCAGTGGTTGAACCCCGCTCAGCAAACGATGATGTAAACTGAGCCACCATTAGCCACATTATCTTCCGCTGGGCCACTCTGTCTTTGTCTAAATAAGGGAGACCAATATTTAGAAAGACTACACTCACAGGTAAAGGAGCCCGGATGTGGAGGCAAACAAGGCTGAAGGGAGAGCACATGACAGTGACGCTTGCCGAATGTTCTGGCTGCGCCAAGGGTTAGAACCAAATATCCAAGGCCCACACAGATCTAGAAAGAGCATAGCACAGGGAGATAGGATTGTGTGTCAAATGCACAGTGCCTCCAGCTGTGTGTGCCAGTCTGGGGGCACACATGTAGTGACATCGCTGGGTCCACTTGGCAGTTTTTCTGATGATTCAGTTTCCTAAAGGTCAATGTCCTCAAAAGACTGGACTTCAGCGTTCCCAGGCCTCTATAGGCTTTCTCTTGGTTTTTATTTTGTTTTAAACCAACGGCAAGTTAAAACCACTCCTGATGACTTTCATGGATTCAATGTCTCCATATTTAGAAGTCACTTTGCTGTAAACCCAGATAGTCATAATTGGGGTCCATTTTTAAGTGAAAATCACGGCTATGCTCTTGAAGCACAACTGAATCCTAAAAAAATTCTAAAATTGTCAGATAAATTAATTTTCAGATTGTTTCCTTACTTCTCTCTCATTCTTAATGTTTTCAGAATTTTGTGGATCTATTGGTACTTTTAACATGTCCCCTTTAGCTCTGTTCTCCAGTCTCGCTTCCTGTCTCTACCTCCCATCTCACTACAGGAATGCCAGGATTGCAGATTCATACCATGGTGTTCAGATATTTTATACGGGTTTCAGGGATCACACTCAGGTCAGAAGGCTTGCACAGCTAACACCTTTACCTGCTGAGCCATCTCCCTGGCTCTGGAGAATGTTTATAGCAATGACTAATACCGAGAACTGCTATACCTGTTATCATTTTAATTGTGTTTTGGCCTTATTTAATTCTCACAACTTTATAAGGCTTATACTATTTTTCTGTCATGTTTAAGCACACACACATTTTACCCTTTTTATGTTCATGATATACTGGCATTAAATCCATTCACATTATTGTGCAATCATTACTACCATCTATTTTCACACTTAAAACATTTACAAAACTGGGGCTTAGGGAGTCAGCTTCAAAGAGACCAGGTCTCGCCCATTCAGCTGGGCTAAGAAACAACCAAGCAGCACCCAGGACAATGCCTAATACATAGCAGATAACCAACAGATAGCGGCTGAGGGAGCATATTCATTGCCAGTGTTGTTGTGGGGAGCCACACCCTTCACCAACAGGAATGCACAGCCCGGTGAAGAAAGCTACTTTATGTCTCAGTGACACTTGACAGGCATAACTTAATGCTGCAGTATAACTTAATGCTGTAGAACAATTAAAGAGGGTGAGCTTTGTGATTGTTGTATTAGTATTTAATTATTATTATATATTTATGGGCACAGTGTGATGCTTCAATACACATATAAAATGTTGTGATTAGCCAGAGGTTTAAGACAGGGACTAGACTGGGATGGTGGTAGCACACGCCTCGGTCTACAGAGCGAGTTGCAGGACAGGCTCCAAAGCTATAGAGAAACGCTGTCTTGAAGAAACAAAATTAACCAAAATAACTGTGTAGTGATCAAATCAGGAGAATTAGCATCCCCTCTGACATTCAGACATCCTGGACTTACCATTTCATCTAGTTTCCCTTAAACATTGTCCTAAACCTCTTTATATATATATAAATTATATATATATAATTATTTTCTTAGTATGGGATTTTTCCCGGCATGTGTATATGTGTATCACTTGCATGCAGACCCTTCCAGGCCAGAAGAGGACCAGATCCCCTGAAACTGTTACAGATAGTTGTACGCTGCCATGTGGGTGCTGGGAACTGATCTGAGATCTTTTGGAAGAACAGTCAATGATCTTAACCATTGAGCCATCTTTCTAATCTCTGTCTTTTTGTTTGTTTGTTTGTTTTTTGAGGCAGAGTTTCTCTATAGTTTTGGAGCCTATTGTGGAATTCACCCTGTAGACCAGGCAAGACTTGAACTCACAGAGATCCTCTTGTCTCTGCCTCCCGAGTGCTGAGATTAAAGGTGTGTGCCATCACCACTCTGCTCTAGTCCCTGTCTTAAACCTCTTATAAAGCCAGCACAGTGTCCTGCATCTATAGTCCCACATACCCAGCTGGCTGAGGCAAGAAAATCTTTTA